GAAAAAAGTAATACTAAGCTACAATGTGCTCTCAAAGTAACACATGTTTTGAATGAGCTAACCCAAAATAGAAAGAAACTTCGAAATTAATAGTGCGAAAAATTCACAGATCTGGACAACATGCAACAATTCTCATTCAATGTTGATATGTCGATAAACCGTGGTTCGATTGTCGTGAAATTTGAACGATATATCCATAACTCATTGTTCTTCAAATTCAGTGGTTACAATGATGATCAAACGGTTCATTTGTAAGAAATCACTATGCGAGCAATAGCGAATTTTGATTTGATTGGAAATCCTAAATCTTTGGAGAACAAATTATTATTATTATTATTATTATTATTATTATTATTATTATTATTATTATTATTATTATTATTATAAGAATTTGACTCTAAGTTATCCAAATCTATTCCAATTCTTAAATATTATATCGTTACTCGACCTTAAAGAAGAACAACTTTATATTCGATAAATATTCTAGAAAAAATATTGTATTATTTAGCACGAAATTGTTAATATTAATATTTCAGAAGAATATTGTATTTATTACTCTGTAAGAGTATATCTCATTAAGCTCTTGAAGAAGCACGAATCAAACACATTGAAGAAAAACAATTTTTATTTTATTTTATTACAAGAAGAATATTAATTTATCGCTCCTAAAAAGCATAATATTCAACGTCTCAATATTGTAAAAAAATACTATATTATTACTTTTGAAAAAGCAAAAATTTTGAAACACTGATAAGATTTAAGATGGATTATTAAGATATTTATTAAGCAGATAGTGCAACTATGCACACAATTCTTCAAAAAAAAAAAAAAAAAACTTCTAGAAATTAATATTAGCAAAAAATAATTTTAATGCAATATCAAGTACATCAAATATCATTGAAGGCTTCAAAAAAAGCTTGTATTATCTTACTAAATAATACAAAATTATACATTGATGATGTACTTTATTCAAATAAGTCTAAAATAATTGCTTAATTTTTAAAAATATTTACTGCAATGGATATCACATGGAAGCAATAAAAGAAAATAGTATTAAATATCTTTCTATGGGCCCGTTTGAGCCACATTATTTCAAAAAAATGCATTCTTAAACAGTTATTTGATATCATTTCAACTACACATTCTTCAATAAAATAATATTACACGCAAATAAAAAACTTTTCTTTATTTTTTAATCACACAATTCCCATCAATACATTATTCAATAATGCATTATTATCAAAATAATGTGGCTCAAACACCCCCTACAACTTATTTTGTACTTGGCCAAAAATAGGTAAAAGAAAAATTAAATACACTCCCATCTAGTATGTATTATATATTTATAGAAATATTTGAATCAAATGTTATCACGAACTCGAAGTTTGTTGACCCAAAAAGTTTTATACTTTTACATGATCGGCTTGAACATCCAGGAACAATAATGTGCCGAATAATAACAACTCACATGGACATTCTCTAAAGAACTAGAAATTTTTTTTTACATATGATTATCCATGTATTGCTTGTTTGCAAGGTAAGTAAGTATCTGAAATTCGACTACAAAAGTTAATGTTGGGTATCTAACTTTTTTAAAAGAATTTATGAAGATATATGTGGATCAACACACCCACCATGGGGACCATTTTAGTATTTTATGGTATTAATTAAATTTTCTATTAGATGGTCACATGTTTGCTTATTTTTCACTAGGAATGTAGCTTTTACTAAACTATTTGTCAATAATCATAAAATTATGAGCTCAATTTTTTAATTACTCAATCAATAAATCGTCTTAATAATGCTGTGAATTAATCACAAACAATTCAAAAATTACCATATGTCAATTGAGATTGTTATTGAATATTCAGTTGCACGTGTTCGTACACAAAATGATTTAAAAAAACCATTTGTCAAACGTATAAAACGTAGTAATAGACCATTATTTATGAAATAAAACTCTCAACTTCTATTTTGGGACATGTCAAATTACATGCTGTATCATTAGTTCGCACAAAACAAACTACTTATTATCATTACTCACATTTGCAATGTACATCAGGTCATGAACCTAATATTTCTTAACTATGGGTTTTCGATTGTGTCATGCAAATCCCAATTTTATCCCTACAGTGCACCAAAATGGGACCCCATTGTAGACTTGGAATTTATATTGGTTTTGATTCAACATCCATTATTAGGTACCTCGAACCTTTAATGTATGACTTAATTACTACACATTTTGTAAATTGTCATTTTGATGGAATGATTTTCCTAACTTTGGGAGGGTAAAATTACATCTCAAAAATAGTATAAAATTTCTTGAAATGAAACAACTCCATCTTTCTTTGAATCTCGCAACAATCAATGTGAGCCAGCTGTTGAAAAAATTATTCACTTACGAATAGTTAAAAAATTAATTACTTGATGTATTTTCCAACATAAGAAAAATGACAAAGTTATATATAATAGCAAAAAATATTCTAGCGAAAGAGATGTTACTGTATTATAATCTACTGTAGCAAATAAATATCAAATATTTTAAAAACGTGGTTGATCAGTTGAAGCTAAAGACTCTATACTTTGAAAAGAAAAGTATAAGTAAAAACCAATAAAAAATTTGGAAGAAATAAGAAATAATAAAAACGTGCTCAGTGCTGTGGTTCCTGGATTCCCAGCTTTGTCCATCTATTTTCAGATTATTTTCTTGCATAATTTGGTTCAGTTTGAGGTGCCTCTTATTCTGGTTGAATTCTCATTTATTGCAGCTTATTTTTAGGCCATTCTAAGTTTCAACAGGCGGAAAGTTCTTAAATATATTATATCTCAGATTTTCTATTGGTTTTGGTGTGGATCAAGTCTCCAGTTGGGCCTGTTTTGGCTGGACCTTCTTGGATCATTTATATCTCCTTGGACCACTTCTGTTTTATTATTCTGTGGGCAGGGTCTTCCTTGGATTTTTATTCTGCCTTTGGGCTCCTTTCTCTCCTCGTGGGTTGCCTTTCCCCCCTTGCTGGGCCTTTTTGTTACTGATTGTTATGGCTAAGAAATCAGCCCACAAGAGTGGGCTCTTATCCAAGCAGCCCTCAAACGTCCATTCCCAGGTTAGCCACACTAATTCCTGGAAAAATTCTGCTGGACCAGTTAATGAATTGTCGCAGGCCTCTTGTGATTCCTCCATGTCTAAGGAGATAATCCCCCTTTCGAAGGTACTTCATAAGGCAACTTGTGAGTATCCAAGTGTGTCCCAAACACTTGGAGGCGAGGATACGGAATCTGAAAGTTCTAAATTTCAGTCAAATACGGATGAATTAAAGAACCAAAAAGAGGAAAACGGTGGATTGAGGGTGTGGAAGACACTAAAGCTCCATGGGTAAACCTCTTCAAAAACAATAGGAAGATGGAGGAAAATATCAAGCTAAAGCCCTTCGAAAATCAATCGGAAGAAGTGGTGTTGGGTGAATTAGATGAAGATAATATCGAGAATACTTGGGGATATGGACTTTTGGATATTTTGTCGGTAGATTCCTGGGGAAAGTGGCATTACTCCAATTGTATGATTCATGGAAGGTTGATTATAAATATTATGTGCACTCGAGCGAGTGGTTGGGTTTCAAATTTGAGATGGACTAGGAAAAGCTTAGTGTGTGGTAGGGCCGGTCCTGTGTTTGTCGGGGCTGGAGGCAAAGTCCAAAAATTAGGCGCCCAAAATCAATATAAATGCAAAATTCAATAATATATTATGTAAAATATTGTCAACTTAAAACTTAACATTATAACAACAAACAAATATCTCAATCATCTCACAAATAACGGAAAAAAAAACTATTTTCCTTTTCCTTCTTTTAATATTTAAAAAAAAAAAAAACTTTTGGGCCAAAATAGGCCCCCTATGGTCTTGGGCTTGAGGCACAGGCCTCATTTACCTGGCTATAGGACCGGCTCTGGTGTGTTGCATGGTGGTTCCTACTTGGTTTATGGGAGACCATTAATGCTAAAAGTCATGCCCCGCTACTTTGATTTTGATGACAAAGACGTTAGCACTATGCCGGTTTGGATTAACTTACCGGGATTGCCATTGGAATTTTGGAACACGAGTGCCTTGGGTAAGATTGTTTCAAAAGTTGGTAAACCCATCTCGACCGATAAGGTCACGGCATCAAGGGGTAGACTATCCTATGCAAGAGACCTAGTTGAACTTGACGCATCTATTGAGTTTGTTCGGATGGTAAAGATAAAACTTCCTAATGGCATTTTGAGGAGGCAAGAGATTCTTTTTGAGCATGAACCAAAATTTTGTAGTTCTTGTAAAGTTTTCGGGCATTCCAATCTCGGTTCTAACTACAACAAAAAGGCTGTGGGTGAAAAAGGAAAGTCCATAAATAGAGAGACAGCAAATACCTCCATACCGGCTGCACAAGAGAAAAACATGCAGGCTGGAAAGAATTGGACAGCATCAAATTCTACTAAGACAGCTTCACAGTTTAGTGTTAATTCGGCCAGAATTGGGGGACAGCAACCTAGGGGGAAGGACGGCCAGCAAGGGCAGCCCCCAAATCAAAATTTTGCACAGCAACAAGATGTGGACGACCAGCAAGTCCAGATTCAAGACCAGGTAGACGCCCCTTTTGTTGAGGTAATTAACCGGAAAAATGGAAAAAATTCAGCATGTATTATGCCTTCTCATGTGTCGGCAGATGAAGGCTGTCAAATGGAAAATGTGGGGGCAGATTCCACATCAAATGTTAGAGGGGCAGATTCTAAAAAAATCTAGCAATGAAAAGCTCAAAGGAAAGGTCAATGAGCAAAGGAAAGTCGGAACCAAAATTGGCAAGAAGAAGGGAATTTCCCTTGCTTCCAAATCATGAAAATTGCATCTTGGAATATTAGGGGCTCGAATCCCTCCTCAAACAAAATGGGATTTGAGATTTCATCAAGCGACATTGCATTGGTGTCATGAGTATTTAGGAGACGAAGCTTGGAGATCGATGAACCGAATTATGCGGAATAAATTTGATGGTTTTATGCAAGTCAACAATTTTTGCACTCATAGAGCCGGATGGATTTTAATCTTGGGGAATTCATCAAAAGTCAAACTGGAAGTTTTGGAGACTAACCCACAAGTCATCCATTGTATTGTTACTTTCAAGGTAACATCTTATACCTTTGTTGTTAGCTTTGTTTATGCTTTTCATACAATTGTTAGCCGGAGGCCGCTTTGGAACAACATCATGGATTTCAATGCAAATGTGTCATTACCTTGGATGATTCTTGGTGATTTTAACGATGTGCTCAAATTCAATGAGAAAAACAATGGGGCAGAAGTAACTCCTTATGAAATTCAAGATTTTGCTAATTGTTGCCTTCATGCTGGCCTTACGAATGTGCGCTCCATTGGTTGTCTTTACACATGGACTAATAATTCAGTATGGAGCAAAATTGATAGAGCTATGGTGAATGACATTTGGGTACAAAAATGGTGCATATGTCTTTGTTGATTTTTTACCTTCCAGGTGGCTTTCCGACCATTCTCCATGCATTGTGTCCATTCAAGACCATATAGTGAACACTAGGAAATCATTTAAATTCAAGACAATGTGGACAAACCACGAGGACTTCCATGATATTGTTCAAGCAAGCTGGAATTTTAGTGTGGTGGGAACAAAGCAATTTATTCTTTGTAAGAAGTTATGCAAATTGAAAGAAGCATTGAAGGAGCTTAATGTTAAGTATTTTGGGCAATTTCTACTCGAGCAAATGAGGCTAAAAGTGAATTGGAGGCTGCCCAACTCATACTTCATGATCAACCTACGAATGAGCATTATCAACATATGGTGGCAAGATTGAGAAAGAAAGCCATGTGATTATGTGAAGCGGAACATAGCTTTTATTACCAACAAGCTAAATGCATCTTCCTTAAGTAAAATGATAAGTGTACTAAATTCTTTCACTCGTTGGTTAAATGGAATGCAAGAAGAAACTTTATTGTTTCTATTCTTAAAGAGGATAGGATGTATACTACTTCACAAGACCAAGTTGCTCGAGAATTTGTCAATTTTTACACCAACTTGTTGGGAAAAAAGAGCCAGTTTGGCCTATTGAGATGGAAATTATTAGCAATGGGCTTTTGGTATTATTGGAACAAGGCAACTCATTGATTCGGGACATTTCTAGTGATGAGATCAAAGAAGCTCTCTTTGGGATTGGAGATGATAAATCTCTCGGCCCGGATGGTTACACTTCTTGTTTTTTCAAAAAGGTATGGGGGACTATTAAACATGATTTTGTGGAGGCTATCATGGAATTCTTCTCATTGGGATCCATCCTCAAACAAATCAACCACGCAGTCATTGCTTTGGTGTCAAAGTCAAGTCACACACCTAGTGTTGGGGATTATAGGCCTATATCTTATTGTAATGTTATCGATAAAGTGATTACTAAAATCTTTGCTTCTAGATTGAGGCCTACCTTAGGGGACATTGTGGATCAAGCACAAGCCGCTTTTATTGAAGGTAGGAGTATGACGGAAAATATTCATCTTGCCGAAGAACTCATGAGACAATATAATGGAAAAGGGTAGCTTCGAGATGCCTCCTAAAAATTGATATAAGGAAAGCTTATGATTCGATAAGTTGGGATTTTCTTAAAACTGTACTCGAAGGGTTGCATTTTCCTTTGAGATTTATACGGTGGGTGATGTAATGTGTTACCTCTCCAACATATTCCATAGCTTTGAATGGGAGTATACACGGCTTCTTCAAAGGTAGGAAAGGTCTTCGGCAAGGTGATCCACTATCCCCCTTTTTGTTCATGTGTTTGTCTTGAATATTTTTCTAGAATGATTAAGGTTGCTACAAGTGATAGTGAATTCAATTATCACTCCAAATGTGACCCCTTAAAGATAACCCACTTAGCTTTTGCGGATGACTTGATGCTCTTTGCAAGGGGAGATGTTATGTCGGTGCAAATTCTTATGGATTGCCTTGCTAACTTTGGTTTTGTATCAGGTTTGAAGATCAACACTTTAAAATCTAGCTTGTATATAGCTGGTATTTATGGGCATGAGCTTGTGAGTTGTTATGCTCCATTTCTTGATAAAATTGCTGCTTATATTGGAGCTTGGAATTGCTCATCTTATCTTATGCCGGTAAGGTAAAACTTATTAAGGCAGTGCTTCAAGGTGTTGAATGCTTTTGGCTTTCTATTTTTCCTATCCTGACTACAATTACTTCAAGAATTATTAGTCTTTGCTGAAAATTTCTTTGGGGCTCCAAAAAACCTTTGGTTGCTTGGAAAAACATTTACTTACCGAAAGAGGAAGGGGGTCTTGGTTTGAAAAACATGAAGAGTTGGAATTTAGCTTTACTAGCTAAATCTCTTTGGAATATTCAACATAAAAAGGACACTCTTTGGAAACATTGGATGCACCAAGTTTATCTTAAAGTGACTTGCATTTGGGATGTTCTACCTAGAAAAGATCACTCTCCACTTTTCAAAAAACTGTTGAAAATCAGAGATAATTTGATATAAAATGTTGCTGCCCCCCAGATTTTTTCTCATGGACAGGCTGTAATTTTAGATCAGGTGGGGGGAGTAATTAACCTATTTGTGGCTGCTGGATTACCCTCAAGTCAGCGGGCTGTAACTGCAAAAAACAGTGATCGAAAACAGGAAATTCTAGACAGATTTAAAGGCTGGTCGACTGGAGATAAATTATGCACGAAAGCTGCCTATGAATTCTTCATGCCAAAAGGTTCAATGAAGGTTTGGACGGGTGATGTTTGGAAATCTTGCATTACTCCAAAGCACTCATTTTTGCTTTGGTTAGGGGTTCAATCTAAACTCTTAACGAAAGACAAATTGCAATTTTTGGATATTGATTGTAATTGTGTTTTTTGTGGGCATATAGCGAAAACGGGTTGTCATCTATTCTTTAAATGTTCTTTCACATCATCCTTATGAGGGAATATTAGACAATGGCTTGGCATTAAAAGATCTATATCAACAATTGCTAGCGTTCTAAAGTGGTTGAAAAAAGAGACTCATGAGACATCATGGCTTAGCAAGGCAAAAAGGATTGCACTTGCAAGTACCGTCTACTACATTTGGTTAACACGTAATAAGAAGATTTTTGAAGACCTTTCACCTAGCTTGGATTGAATTGTGAGATAGATCAAGACACACGTATGCAAAGTTATGTTCTCTTTGTATTCGGATGTTTTGATCCATTTCGAGTCCTTAGTGTTGGGTCATTGATTTTTACGCACTTCACTTATTTTGTATCTCCTAGGTATGCTTGGAGTAATTGTATGTGATATTGACTTTTGTTTGCCCGGATATGTCCGGTGTACTTGTACATGAAAAATTTGATCAATGAAAATTTACATTTATCGATTAAAAAAAAAGAAAAAGAGAAAAAAAATTGCATGAGAGCTTGTTCTTCAAATATAATGAAAGATGCAGTACAATATTTGTTGTTCTTCAACATCTTTGATCAAATATGCTTCTATAACATGAAGAATGCAAATATTTTTTCGTGTCAATCAAACTTGTATGTTCATATGAGAGCTTTTTCTAGTCCAAAATCACTCAAAAGCATAAAAACAGAACCTTTGAAGCTGGAATAGCCATTTGAACCAAACTGGTTCAGGAAAATAACCAATAAGCAATAATCCAGTATGTAAAAATCACATACTATATGAAAATATATTCCAATACAACCCTAATCAAGTACGTTCTCTATGCCATCAAGTAAGTTTATACGCATTCCCTAAATTTTTGGCTTTACTATGACAAAAGTAAAACTATACATAACAGAAAACAACATTTTTATAGACATTACTGATCATACAAACTCAACTTGACCAGAATGATCGAAAGGCTATAAACCTTTTTTTTTTTTTTTGCAGATATGAATCATATATGCAGATCGAGATCATATTTTGCAAAAACTTAGATGTTTCAGAGCATTGATAAATTTCCCAACCAGTAAAACTTCAAAGAAAGAACCAACAACAATCGACAATTTGTTTTAGGCGCTGAGCCAGCATTCAAAATGAAAACTTTACCTGAAGCCTAGAAGGATTGTACATAATTTGAACTGCCCTTACAACTCAGTCTCCTATCATTATAAAGCCCAATTCAACTATTGATCCTCATTTCCTCTCTATCGAAGTAAAGGAAAAGAGAAAGACCAGATCTCATTGAGGATTATTATACATTTTCCTTCCATACTACAATAAGAACGTCAGAACTTATGCTTTTCACATCATGATTTTAAAATGAGAATATATTCACTAGCAAATAAGAGATAAACAACATTAGTGAATGTTGCGATAGACCACTTTTAACAACATGTAATTGATGAATGTTGTCTTTTGCAACACAAAAGGCCTTTTTGTGTTGTAGGATGACAAGGATTTTGTAGAATATATTACATATCGAAAAACGAAAACTAATATATTTTTGAAATAATTAAACTGTAAGAGAGTTAAAATCATCCAAAAAATGGTTCTCATTTAATTTGATATTTGATGTATTATATAGATGGTAGTGTTTATGCAAAGCTGCAACACTAGTTTCATCACTCTCACCAACTTTATTTGAACAAGAAGATTGCGGTGGCGGTGGAATTCTTGATGGAGTCCCCAAAAGCCGAGGGTACCATTTGCTGGATATTCTAGATGGAGCAGAGCAGGAGAGCAATGTGTAACATTAATTTGTTTATCCAACGGATAGTGTCCTTTTTTTTTTTTCAAATAAATTCATAGAACATCAGTTTTGTTGACTTTGTCTAACTAAATATCCACATGAAAACAAGCTTTTCTAAGGGCCGCTATTTCATTTTATTATTATTATTTTGAATTTTATTAGATTTTTATACAAATTAATAAAATATATGATTGAAAAGTTGTGAGTCTGGACTCCCATGAAACATATGTAATTAAACTTAATTGTTGATTTTAATTTAGATTTTGATTGATTTTTTTAGCTTAACCAAATAATGGGCAAAGTCTATTGTTTCTTTTTCAATTTAGCATGATCGAGTCACATTTAGATTGGATTGGAGATTTTTTTTTTTTAACAATACCCATATTCCTCACAATCTACATTAGTATTGGAGATGCACCCCCCGAGGCATATTCGAGTAGTGTAAAGGACAGGAGTGAGGTAGTTTCAACCTTGCTGGCAGTATAGAAGAACAGATTTCCTATGTTTTCAATGAAGAATTTCCCACACTTTTTATTGATAGAATTTCTGTGTTATATACAAGTAATTGATGAGCTGATTTTGGAAATACATACATAGTAAGGCTGAATCTATGCTATTGTTATAATGTGCAGAATACAGACTTAGAAAACTGCTGTAAATATAAAATTGAATGGCAGTGAATGACAGAAATTTATGGCAAAAATTTCCACATGATTTTAGGCTAGACATCAGCTGTTCTGGTTGGAGCAAAATCAATGCATGCTTCCTTTATACGCCCCTGCAAGATTGAGCTTCCATCGGCAAGACCAATCTTGTTACGTAACAATTCTGTGCACTGTTTTGACAACGGCTTTGTTAACAG